GCTGCCCAGTGTTCACTCACTGTTGTGTGTTGCCCTCCTTCAGTCCAATGACTCAGAGTCCCAATAGTCCACAATCAATGTGGATATCAGGAACAGAGACAGAAGACAGACTGACTATCTGATCAGCTCTGTTCTGTTGCTCACTTTCTGTTCATCTTTGTCTTAACTACTGAAAAAGGTTTATTTTATTTATCTTTATTTTTACCTCAATTAATTTATCCTCAGTTGTTTTGATGCATTCTCTAATATGTGACAACAGTTGAAACTGAAGTAATATTAGAATAATTAGTAATGGACTGAAATGTGATTCTGCTTCCCTTAAGCTTTATCATGAGTTTTATCCTTGTTGTTAGCTTTTGCTCTAACACTCGATTTGATTTAGATTTTCTCAACAGAAAACTCTTGGCATACGACTCAGTCCTTTTAATTTATTGGCAACGCACCAAAAAACTGATAAAAAGCTAATATTCTTCAATTCTTTTTAAAATATCATCTTCTTTTAAAAATCCCATTAAAAATATGATATACAGTATAATATATAAAAGCCTGAGAAAGAAAATCCTGTAAGTTATTCCCTTGAATTTAGGAACAACATTTCCTTACTTTCATCAATTACGATGGATGTGCAGCAGTGCACTAGCATATATATTATTACGTAGCACCAAGGCTAGAACAAGCTAACCCTGCTTACTCACCTGTGACCTTGGCCTTGAATGGACTGCCCCTGATGTGTTCGGGACCTCCGTACCTGATGCTAATCAAATAGTCTCCTGGTGCCATGGGTGAGTACCGCACCTGGTATCCCTCAGGAACCTCCTGGCAGTCCATTTTCACCTTGGAGGGGCCCTCAATGGTCACAGCCAAGGCCCCAGAGCCTACCTTAGTATTGTTGATGATGAAGTCTGACTCGATTCCTATACAAAAGATTGTAACCATCTTTAAACCCTGTGAAATGATTGCTTGATATTTCATCTTTCTGAGCTACGTTTCTATTATCACCAATCCAAAAAGTTATTACTTAGTTATTTACAACTCTAAATTAAAGTTATTTTCCTGCTACTGAGGATGTATTCACACCATGGACACACCATGGACCGTTGTTCTATACCCCAGTGACGCCCCCCCATCTGTCCCCCCCTTGGCACCGCACTCACATTATCCCCAAGGCAAGTTACCTCAGTGACTGTTTTTTTATACAAAGCAGCGCAATCAAGAGTGAATCTGACAAAACAATAACATTGAATGCTTTGTGAACTATCTTCAAAACACTCTGCCCTTGCTAATATCTGGATTTAGTGACTATGCCCTGCAGTGATTCACAGTTAATCGTGCTGCACGCATATGAGGATATGCGTGCAGCATGCATATGCCCACCTCTTCCAACCGAGCCATAGCAGGAAAATGCCTGTGCACAGGCATTATACACACATACGCCATAGAACTGGCTAGTGTGAGTGCACCCTTACTTTTAGCTAACCTCTTTTAGGTCCTGTCTGACGGTGCATAACTTTTTCCTATTTTTGAAAAGTGTCAGTTTAATTTCTTAAGATTGAATCCAGTGTTCATTTTGAAACATTTTTGAAAATCTGTGAAAGATTTTCGTATTTATTCTGAAACTATCTACGCCTAGTACAATCTTCCTCTACTGTATAATCCTAGCCTGTCACCATGTTTAGGAGACCTGGTTCGGTTAGCCCTAACTCTCTTCTTCAGCCTCGCCTGTTCCTTCTTACTCCCTGTGATATAGGTTAAGCTGCTGCTGTGCCTCTGTTAGTGATAAACAGTAATATCAGTAGCATGTAGCTTGGCTGTAGTAATGACATGCAGACAGACAGGCAGACCGATATGTAGATATGTAGATCGTAATAAAATGGTATTGTTTTCATACGTAATGTTATTAATAGAAATTGTATTGTTAACTTTTCTAAAAAAAAAATTCTATATACTAAAGTATACCACATTATCTCTATGGTGTATTTATCCGTTCTACCACTGTATTTACCCCCTGCTGGCGTACTACTATATTTACCCCCTGCTGGAGTGCTACTGTATTCATTCCTTGTTGGCATACTTCTGTATTCATCCCTTGCTGGAGCACTACTGTATTTACACCTTGCTGGAGTACTACTGTATTCATCCCTTGCCGGTGTATTACTGTAGTTTCAAACCCTAATCTCTAACCCTAATCTCTAATCTCAATCTTTTACTCTTAAATGTATTCCAACTTTGTAAACTTTATTGGATGTAGAAACGGACATTTTCTCATCTACAGAAGCCCAGTTGAGGCATTTTGCTTCATTTGACATGGTTACGACCTGACCCACCTGTGGTTCCACTATCTAGTCCGGATCCATAGGCTGTGACGAGACCAGGCTCTTTGGTCCCACTCATGTCTCCGACTCTGACATGGAATGGACTTCCAGACACATGACAACCATTGAAGGTGACCTCAACTGTGTGAAGTCCAGTCTCTGTGGGGGTGAAGCTGACGGTCAACTGGTCTGGAAAAAAGACAGCGCGAGGGGGGGGGGCGTGTTCATCAGTGATGACATGATCAGGGTTTCAAATTGTGTTCAACACAAACCCACGTACCTCTGTCCAACTGGCTCACCATACACGGCACCACCACTTTAGACGGACTCCAGACCCTGGCCTCCACCTTCCCCTCAGCTTTGTTCAAACACACTGTAAAGCATGCTGGGAGATTTACCTTCAGACCCGAGTCCTGGAAAACAGTAAATGACCTGAGCACTCTGACATGTTACTGACAAAACTGTTATACAAACAAATCATCAAAACAGTCCCCCGGTTTCTAACAGTGGTTTCCAAAAGTCTTGCCGGACTCCAAAATTCCAGGACACTGGTCTCACCTGTAGACCACTGACAGTCAGGCGGCGAACATCATTCATTGGAGCAACCACTGAAACCAGGAAGGGACTGTCAGGAATGTGCTGCTCGTTGAACTTCACTGAAATCTCGTAATGACCTAAAATGAGCGGATGAATGATCTGAAGTCATCTCAGAGAAGGCAACAATGTTACGGACAGTTTGATTCTTATGAACTCTAGTCTTATTAACTCCACCCACCAGGCTCCTGGGCCACATACGACACGTCACATGACCCATCTTTACGGTCATTGAAGGACAGCTCAGCCCTGCTGGGTCCTTCCATTGCGATGGACAGACCACCAGCCCCAGCCTCACGAGTCCAGACAGAGAAGTCAGCTGATCAGAGAGAAATGGAATTGGGTCAGCAAATCAGAAAAAAAAAAAAAGTGATTTTAGCTCAGGTGACACTACAGTTGGTGGAGCTGTCAGAGTTAATGTACTAATTGAGGGGGAAAAAAAAGACAAAAAAACATATTATGCGCAGAATAATTCACACTACATCCAATAACTCTATCAACTTATCATCGCTCGAATATTCAGTCAACACACATTGTGTCATTTACCCACACTCTGGTAAGGACCTTGGCTTGTGTCAGAGAAGACTGACTGAGATCAGGACAGTCAGTAAGTCTATGACTAACAGTCTGACTGACACAATGTTTAAAAGGATTGTTCAGAATTGTACACTGTAACTGTAACAGTAATAACTGCAATACTACATTTAGGAGTCTGGACGAATCGCCATTATGATTAGTGGTGATCAATTGCAGCTAACCTGTGATTAATTGCAGCTACGCTGTAATTAATTGCAGCTACCCTTATTGCATCCACCCTGTGATTAATTACAGCTACCCTTTGATTAATCACATCTACTCTCTGAACAATAACAGCAACCCTGTGATTAATCAGATGAAGTTTTTAAAACCTCTCTGTTTTCTAATATTTGACAGACTGCAGTTAGTCGACTGTCGTAGTCATGCTACAGTTAGCGAAGATGTCATGGGCTAGGTCTCAGTTGGTACCTGGTTCTCCTGCCAGAGCTTCCTCCAGACCTGGACCTCCTGCTCTGACCTTGGAAGCTCCACCCTCCAGAAGTGGCCCCACAGTGAACTGAAAGGGGCTTCCTGGCACGTGCACACCCCTGTATTTCACACTCACACAGTGCACACCCATTTCTGTGGGCACAAAGCGAACGCAGTAGGTATCGCCACCCACGCCGACTACCTCTGCAGGATGGTGAGCTCCAGAGGGCGCTGTGACCTCTGCGACGACATTTTCGGTTTCAACCCCTAGAAACACAATGAGACATGATTTGGAGTTAAGACCAAATCAAACCAGGGAACAAGGCGGGTTATTTTTAAGGCAGAGAGAGCAGAGAGACCGCCTACTGTTTATACTACAGCTAGTCTAAAATGTGAAAAGGTAAATAATCATGTTACAAAAAATCTCAACAATTGTTAAAAGGGACATTAGCATGCTAAAGTTAGCCAGACCTTTTATAGACCCACGAATGTTTCCTAAGTTGTAAAGCACTGTCCAAAGTGTTTTAGTCGGGGTATTACAGTCAAAATCGCATTCTTCCATTGAACCAAACCTGATGTTAGAGTAAGAGAACTCCTCAGTGTAATCTGTGTGTGTGTGTGTGCTTGCCCGTGTATGTGTGTGCGCGCGCTGAGTTGTGCGTACGTTTACCTGGTATCTTCAGACTCAGATCACACACACTGCCTACAGTCGCAACGGACGCCGCCTTCTGACGCCTGCTGATGCTTTCCCTGACACGACCTTCACCTGTGACTTTTACCGTGAATGGACTTCCTGTTGACACACACATGCACGCACACGCACACACACACACACACAGTGTTTAATCCCTGTCTCTCACAGTTTTATTACAATCCATCCATGTTTGTGTCGGAACCTGGAACGTGTTCTTCAGAAAAACATATTGAGACCATGTAGCTGCCAGGTTCAGTGGGACAGTAAGTCACGCCACATGTCCCATCCTCCATGTCAACTGTCTGGATGTCAACTTTACTGGGACCTTCAATGGACAAAGCCAGACCCCCATAACCTGGACACAACGAAATGTAAACAATGATTAATGAAAGATGTGTTTAGTTGAGTGGTTCGGTCTGTGGGCAGGTCTGTGGTTTGGTCTGTAGTTTGATCTGTGGTTTGGTCTGTGGTCTGGTCTGTGGTTTGGTCTGTGGTCTGGTCTGTGGTTTGGTCTGTGGTCTGGTCTGTGGTTTGGTCTGTGGTCTGGTCTGTGGTTTGGTCTGTGGTCTGGTCTGTGGTTTGGTCTGTGGTCTGGTCTGTGGTTTGGTCTGTGGTCTGGTCTGTGGTTTGGTCTGTGGTCTGGTCTGTGGTTTGGTCTGTGGTCTGGTCTGTGGTTTGGTCTGTGGTCTGGTCTGTGGTTTGGTCTGTGGTCTGGTCTGTGGTTTGGTCTGTGGTCTGGTCTGTGGTTTGGTCTGTGGTCTGGTCTGTGGTTTGGTCTGTGGTCTGGTCTGTGGTTTGGTCTGTGGTCTGGTCTGTGGTTTGGTCTGTGGTCTGGTCTGTGGTTTGGTCTGTGGTCTGGTCTGTGGTTTGGTCTGTGGTCTGGTCTGTGGTTTGGTCTGTGGTCTGGTCTGTGGTTTGGTCTGTGGTCTGGTCTGTGGTTTGGTCTGTGGTCTGGTCTGTGGTTTGGTCTGTGGTCTGGTCTGTGGTTTGGTCTGTGGTCTGGTCTGTGGTTTGGTCTGTGGTCTGGTCTGTGGTTTGGTCTGTGGTCTGGTCTGTGGTTTGGTCTGTGGTCTGGTCTGTGGTTTGGTCTGTGGTCTGGTCTGTGGTTTGGTCTGTGGTCTGGTCTGTGGTTTGGTCTGTGGTCTGGTCTGTGGTTTGGTCTGTGGTCTGGTCTGTGGTTTGGTCTGTGGTCTGGTCTGTGGTTTGGTCTGTGGTCTGGTCTGTGGTTTGGTCTGTGGTCTGGTCTGTGGTTTGGTCTGTGGTCTGGTCTGTGGTTTGGTCTGTGGTCTGGTCTGTGGTTTGGTCTGTGGTCTGGTCTGTGGTTTGGTCTGTGGTCTGGTCTGTGGTTTGGTCTGTGGTCTGGTCTGTGGTTTGGTCTGTGGTCTGGTCTGTGGTTTGGTCTGTGGTCTGGTCTGTGGTTTGGTCTGTGGTCTGGTCTGTGGTTTGGTCTGTGGTCTGGTCTGTGGTTTGGTCTGTGGTCTGGTCTGTGGTTTGGTCTGTGGTCTGGTCTGTGGTTTGGTCTGTGGTCTGGTCTGTGGTTTGGTCTGTGGTCTGGTCTGTGGTTTGGTCTGTGGTCTGGTCTGTGGTTTGGTCTGTGGTCTGGTCTGTGGTTTGGTCTGTGGTCTGGTCTGTGGTTTGGTCTGTGGTCTGGTCTGTGGTTTGGTCTGTGGTCTGGTCTGTGGTTTGGTCTGTGGTCAGGTCTGTGGTTTGGTATGTTGTCTGGTCTGTGGTTTGGTCTGTGGTCTGGTCTGTGGTTTGGTCTGTGGTCTGGTCTGTGGTTTGGTCTGTGGTCTGGTCTGTGGTTTGGTCTGTGGTCAGGTCTGTGGTTTGGTATGTTGTCTGGTCTGTGGTTTGGTCTGTGGTCAGGTCTATGGTTTGGCCTGTGGTCTGGTCTGTGGTTTGATCTGTGGTTTGATCTGTGGTCTGGTTTGTGTTGCGAGGTCTGCTCTGTGGTCCGGCCAACAACTGATTTGTCTGATGAGTTTGGTGCATAGACAACTGACCCGCCTCACGAGTGTCCACAGTGAAGTGGCTGTTTGTGAACGTTGTTCCCTGGGCGAGGCCGACTCCGTAAGCTCTGACTCTGCTGGCGTCACCAATCTCTGATTGGACGACCATGATGCCGATGGGACTGTTGGCTATGTGACAACCATTCTTCAGGACACTGACCTGGTGTTGACCAACCTCCTGAGGGATGAAGGAAATCCCTGAAGACAGAGTGCGTGTGAGTGTGTGTGACACGCTGTTGGTATGTATGGATGTGTGTGCGCGCGTGTCAGTGTGTTACCAATGTGATTGTTGACCATCCTCTTCAGCAGACACGGCTGCTCTCTCCCTGACGGTGCTGTGATTCTGGCTGTCAATAGACTGAGGTCGGTCTCAGGGATGTCCAGAGAGAAATCTGCTGCAGAGCCCAGTTTGACCTGAGAGCGTCGCTGTTTATCCTCTGTGCACAGGGTTCATACACAAATACACACATTTTAACCACAAAATAACTTTTCCATGGGTTGGCAGCATGTTTTCATCACTATAATAATAATTATATTACTATAATTATATATATTAAATATATATATATATATTATATAAATATAATATATATATTAAATCCCCATATATATATTAAATCCCCATATATATTAAATATATATATTTAATATATATATATTAAATATATATATATATTATATTACTATAATAATAATAATCACTATATATATGTATGTATAAGTGTAGGAATAATACTATTTAAAAATGATCACAGTGTAAATATATTATATTTACACTGAACGACCATTATGGTTTTATGTTGATTCTATTCCTGTGTTATTCTTGTTGTATCTATCTATCTATCTGTCTTTCTATCTATCTACAAAACAAACATTTGTTTAAAGCAGGCATGTCTAAACTTAAACCAACCAAGAGTTGGACCAATCAGCTGTCAGAAGACTGAGATCAATTGATTTAATGTGTCAAGTCCGGTGTGCTTCTGTTTATTTGGAAAGAAAAAACCTGTAGACACTCGCCCCTTGTGGAATAGTTTGGACACAACAGGTTTAAACCAACACTGATATAGCAGCAATATGCTTACACAATACAAGGTATATGTCATTGTGTTCTGGAATAAATAAACAAAATGTGACCTCTGATTTTAACCCATCACCAAAGTGAACAGTGGGTAGCTTTAAGCACCCGGGGAGCAGTGTGATTGGAAGGGTGCCATGCTAAGAGCATCTCAGTGGTAACTTGGCAGCTGGTAACAGATTATCACACAGACTTTGTTTAGTTTCATCCTGCTGACCAAACTGACCACAAGAGGGAGCAGTAGACCAACAGCTTTTTCTCTATAGATTTTTGCAGGGGAAGAGTAAGTGCTTTACAGCCATGACTGTACAGTAGTTCTATAATAACAGCTCTGTGTGTGCTCACCTGGAATGTGTGTGCCATTATATTTGATGTGCATCTCATGCAGACCAGCCTCACTGGGCGAGTACTGAACAGTCACAGTAGAATCAAGATTATCTATGATCACAGGCTCAGCCGTTTTTCCTGATGGCATCAGAACATCCCCTGGGGGCAGCAGAGAGTGGAAGACGTAACATAAAACATAGGAGGAGGACCATTTATATCTACCGTACAGGGGTCAACTGAGGGTTAAATTCATTATTCCTGGTTGTACAATCTTCAACATTAATATTATTATTATTATTTTTTTTTCACATGGTTTAAACTAGGGATGTCCAATAATATAAGCCAACCGATATTAGCATATTTTGTTATATCTGTAAGAATCGTTTTTGTTTTTTTTTTTCTCTGATGATGAAAACCCGATAACGCCTGGGTTAATACCTGGGTTTCGCCAAATGATGTGTGCCCTTAAAATAGTTTAATGCCCCGGCGACTGACCACTCAGATCCCTAAGTGCTCTGAGAACTTTTACTGAAACACAATTGCCGTAACTCGTCCTCCTCACTCCCACTCACATACACATAACTATTAACGCCTTCATAACAAATGAACAGACCTTTACCAACAATAAACTAGCCTCTTGTCACTAGATGGCAGCATTGCAACTCATTTTATTAATCTATATTGATTATCTGGGGATTGTATGCAGAATGCTGGTGCCAGCAACTCCTACAGTGGTTTTTATAGATAAATAAATAATATTACCAGGCACTCAGTAGTATTTGAATTCTGTAGAGGGGGCATAGCAGAAAATAATTGAGAACACTGCTTTAATCTATCACCTTAGTGAGTAGGCGGCACTTTGCTTCCATATCCAACAGGCCATCGTTGCCTTTGTACATTGGTATCGGTTGATATCTGAATTGGAAATTAAGGAGTGGAAAATGCATATCCGCAAAAAAAAAGGTCATATCAGACATCCCTAGTTTAAACCACTAGTGTTTGCAACAGAGTTGAATGGTCTGTCAGAATTAAAAATACTCTTGAGTTTAAAGTTTTAAATACTTAGCAGCAGTATTCTATAACTGGAATCAGGTTCCAGAAATTTGAATAATTCTTTTAGACAGGTATGACAGGTATCAATACCTGAAAATACTCCAAGTACCAGTAGGGTAATTGGACATGGTAAAAATGGTCACGGAGGTCACCTCCAGCCCCTACTAGACTGTCTGTAAAGTGTAAATAAACATCACGCCAACAGGGAAACAGAGTGAGAAATAGATAAGGATTCTGCCCCTGGTGGACACTGACACTAAAGTCAGGCAGAAGACTGATCTGTCTGGTCTTTATCTCAGGACTGGCTGCGGACACTTACCAGTGATGACACCCTTTTTGAAAGAGAATGGGATCACCATGTCAAAAGGTCTGAAGCTGCGCCCATTCACAGCTGCAGAGCTGCTGATTAGCTCGTAGCTCTCTGTTACCTGAAGACAACACAAACACCAGCATTTAACATCTTCCTCTCTAGAGTTGTGGTAGAAACATGCTGCATGGAATGAAGGTAGCAGGAAGAAAGAGTAGAAACGTGACAAAAAAGGAAATTACTCTATCTGTAGAGTGTGTATGTGTGTCTGTGTGTGCATATACACTATATTACCAAAAGTATTGGCTCACCTGCCTTGACTCATACTATGAACTGAAGTGCCATCCCATTCCTAACCCAGAGTTCAATATGATGTCGGTCCACCTTTTGCAGCTATTACAGCTTCAACTCTTCTGGGAAGACTGTCTACAAGGTTGAGGAGAGTGTTTATAGGAATTTTTGACCATTCTTCCAAAAGCGCATTGGTGAGGTCACACACTGATGTTGGTCGAGAAGGCCTGGCTCTCAGTCTCCGCTCTAATTCATCCCAAAGGTGTTCTATCGGGTTCAGGTCAGGACTCTGTCATCCATGTCTTTATGGACCTTGCTTTGTGCACTCGTGCACAGTCATGTTGGAAGAGGAAGGGGCCCGCTCCAAACTGTTCCCACAAGGTTGGGAGCATGGAATTGTCCAAAATGTTTTGGTATCCTGAAGCATTCAAAGTTCCTTTCACTGGAACTAAGGGGCCAAGCCCAGCTCCTGAAAAACAACCCCACACCATAATTCCTCCTCCACCAAATTTCACAGTCGGCACAATGCAGTCTGAAATGTACCGTTCTCCTGGCAACCTCCAAACCCAGACTCGTCCATCAGATTGCCAGATGGAAAAGCGTGATTCATCACTCCAGAGAACGCGTCTCCACTGCTCTAGAGGCCAGTGGCGGCGTGCTTTACACCATTGCATCC